TTTATTATGTCCTGATACGTAAAATCATAGAACTCAAAGAGGGTGTACTTTCTTTTTCACACGACTGTAGCTTAGCTTTCTCTTTCACTATGAGCTATTTTAATTAATGTATTTTCCATGAATACATTGAAAAATGAATCAAGCATCATCATGTGTCAATCTCCTCCTGCAGGAACAACTGAAGAACGTCTAATACCCAAGCAACTCTGAACCATTCAAATGCCTTCAAAAATAAATACTGCTCTCTGGAAAATGTGCTAGCAGCTTGAAATCTGGATCTCATGGCTTGCAGGATATTTTCTGGATCTGCACCCTGAATATAGAAGACCATATAACCCAAAAGGTAAAAAATGCTTTTCTCTTGACCAGAATCAGAGCTTTTGTGTTTCTGGAGTTCAGAGAAGGTCAGAGCTGGAACTTCCAGAAAAGTCTTAACTTTGTCCCATATTTCACATGTGATATTGCTAAACCAATATATGTAATTCGCTACTGTACTTGGGGTGCTCACCATTGTCAAAAAAAGGCCAAATTCAGGATTCATTTCTACATTATCACCATCGGTAAAAATGAAATTCTTCTTGCGCTCTTTCTTACAGGTCAAAACAATTGCAATTTGCTGTGCAGCAACGGACAGTACTGGTAAATCAATGCGGTTAAATTCGTCAAAGCAGCCCCAGGATCCAGACTGAGCAAGACCTTAAATCAGAGAAAAAGTTGATATTAAAAAGAGTTAGCCCTGCACTCATTTTGTATAATTAGATATCAAATCACAATGTTTTTGTGAGTAATTAGAAAAAAACTTAAAACAAATTCAGAGAAGGTTTGAGCTGAATGTCTGATAGACGTGCTTGAAATGTTGGTACTTCCATCAGATAAAAGGACTAAAATCAAGATGCCTGAAAGAGGCAAATGACTTGTCATGTTGGGCAAGCTGCTGAACTAGATAGCATTTGGTCCCTTTTCCCTATATAGCCTTCCATTTTTAACTTTGCTTTTACTCATTCTTCTGCCTTATTGTTTAATATGAACCAGGGGCCTGCATGGACATATGAGAAGATAATTAGCAATGATTAATCTGAGATGGATGCAACTAAACACAATGAACACATTTGATAATAAGCATATCCTTGTTGTCACATCTGTGACTGTTGATTTTAAATACATGCAGTTTGGAAAGAAAATATTGTGAGAAATGTCGTTCTCTCCCTTCCCAGCATTTCCATGCCAGCCTAGAATCAACATACTCTCATTTTCATATCTAAAAGTTAACATATACTGTTCATCCATTATTGCAACAATACCGAATTTTACAGAAATATCACTTTCCATAATAAACAACGTCCTGACCTTTGAAGATTCTTCCCAGTCCTCGAAAATCCATCTGGTCAGAACAGTTGAAGACCACAACGTATTTTCCAAGGCACCTTCCCATGTCTTTTGTTGTTTCTGTTTTGCCAGTCCCTGCAGGTCCTGCTGGTGCTCCTCCCATGCTCATCCCTAATGCTTGAGCCAAAGTAATGTAACACCTACAAAGAAATAAGCCATTGGGGAGACTTAAAGGTACTAAAATGCAAGGAAAAGTGACATGGGTAGGTAGTGCAAAAGAGAAAGCTATTTCATGGTATCCTCTCTTACTAGATGTTTGAATGCCCATTTTAGTCAGTTACAGGCTATATCTGTTGCCAGGTATATTCAATACAGTCTGGTTGGCCTCTCCTGTTAGCATTTCTCAGAATCAGTTTTGACAGAGCCTTTTTGTACACTGTATTCTGTAAATCCAACTATATTTTGCATCAATTGAGTTGGGGTAGATACATCACATAATGAGGTAGGGATGTTGCATGTTGCCCTCAGGGACAGAAAAAAAAATTCCCCAAGGTAAAATTCAATAGGCTGCATAATATAATTGTATATATTGTATTCCTATAGAGAACCACAGAGATGGCCTTGAGAGAAATGTTCAGAAACTGTTACAAAAACAAAAAGGGCAGAAGCATTCCTTGAGCCCTGGGAAAGGAGTCAGTATTAGAAGAGACTCAGGCTGGCTCCTCCCTGATTCACTGGGGCCTAAGAAGGGAGGGAGGAAAAACACAATTGAACTTATAAGATTCTGCTAATGTAGCCTATGTCAATAAATCTTACTTTTAATCTTCTTGTAGGGTCTGTTTCCTGATTTGGACAAGCCTCGAGTCAAATGAAGCTCTTTTATCTTCCACTGAATGTTTATTACAAAGTCATGAGAAGTTCTCCACAATCAGCACTAGAAAATGACACTGCATAGTGTCAGCATATCTTTTTTCAACCTGTAAAAAGTCATGTATTTCTCACCTGTCTGTGAGAGGTGTGATGACAAGTCGGTCTGTACAGCCCAAAAATTCATTTTGATATATGAAGGCCACATCTGTGATATTAACCATCATCTTATCTGCGTCATCTTTGAAATAAAACCTGCATTGTTTCAGCCACTCAAAATCTGTAGGACTCTTGATATGCATACGACACTGGAAACAAGGGATTGTGCTATCATACATCAATATCAGGGTAAGTACTGACTCTACAGACATGCATTCTGTTTATTGCTTGGAAGCGGCTTTGTTGTAACACCAGAATGGAATGGGAGTACAAAACTGATACTGAGTTAAATAATTTCTGAGACCTACACCCCAGCACATACAGTAAATATATGGTACAATCTCTATTTCTGACCCTACCCCAAAATGGGCTTTGACCATTGCTGGTGTTTTCTTCAGCTGTGAACATGCCTTGAAGAAACTGAATAATCAAGTGATTAACTTGATTTACAATGCATTAAAGTTGAGTAATGGATATTACTTTATGATTAAGAGCAAATATAACATGACTGGATTTTGAACGTTAATGATGAATACTTAGAAAATAGTCATGAACTGCTATCTTCCTCTGGTCTCAGTCACTTTCCTTTTGGGGTTCATCTATAAGACTTAAGTAGACCTCAGTCACAAAACTATGTCCCCTTTTCTACAAGCACTGAGTAGGTAAAAAGAAGAGTAATGTGGACTCATTGCATAGGGAAATCCCTGAAATTATTATTTCCAAGAGAAAAAAGAATTGCATTAGTAGCTGCCATCAAGCTTAACCAGAAGTATATTAGATTATAACATCAAAGAAACTTTATGAACGTTAACCGGCTCAGTAACATTTGGCCCAAAATGACTGACTGCATTGATTACATTTATACATCACAGATACATCTCATTCAAAAGAACTCAGCCTTTCACTAGCAGTTATTTAAATAAGATTTATTTTTACCAGATCATCAAATATGTCTCTTTGGTGCACATGAATTGTGATCAGTGTCTCATATTTAATGCGTTCCACAGAACTCAGATCCTTGGTAGTCATATCTATCAGGGTATTCAAGAGTTCTAAGAAAAACTGATTTGTTCTCTGCATCACTTTTTTGTCATATTTTGCACTGGTCAAAGCTTCTTCAGCTTCTCGTGTCCAGATCATTTGAATACCCAGCAAGCCAACCTTAAAAAATAATTTGTATTAGTTTTTATAGTGTTAATTATTAAGCTTTCCAAATCCTTTTTTACTCAGCCAACCAATAGAGTCATTATACTTTAAGAATTAATTGTATCAATGGGTTTGTATACACTCATGAAAACTGAAACTAGGTTGAAGAACCTTCTCCCATCCCAACCCCCTACTTTGCCCATTCACACATCAGAAGATAGAAAAGATGTGGCTTTATCCCCAGTATCTGCACAAGCCTTAATTGATGTAGCCAAAGGAACTTGGAGTATAAGATGATGTAGGGTTTTGCAGCAATGCTCCATCATGAGAATGGCTCAAATATGGGCCACCCTAGACTGTACTGAGAACCAAATGGTACTTCCTCAGAAGAAGCAGAGTAGGCAACAAAGAGCAATGCAAATGAACTATTTCAGGGAGAATGCCCACTATCAACTGATAATGAGACTTTATAAGCAGCACTCTCCCCTTTCTGTCTCCAGGATTAGAAGAAGTACCCAAAAAGCAGATCTGAAATGAGAGCAATTGCTATAAGTGATGTTGAAGGGAATAGGTGCAAGGTGCAGAAAACCCTCCTTACCAAATGCTCTGCTTCCCAAGCTAACCTGGACCCCAAGGACTGCTTTTCTCTATCCAGTGTTTATGGTTTCCTTCTTCAACAAGAAAAGACATCCTTTTACAACATGTGGAAGGAGCAGAACTCTCTCTGTTCTTGATTAGTTTCCCCAGATCTTAATTTCAGTTTTTATTTGTTTTTTGTTTGTTTTTTGAAGGCTGACATAATTGCAAGCAACATTTTTAATTTCATCTGGTGGAAGGCTTATAATTTAATGTAGGCATTTTTTGACACCTTAGAAACCCTCAAAGGTATACCCCTTACTTTTTCCAGACTAGAAACTAATACTATTTCATAAGAACTCCAACCCCAAGTTAAGAGCTACAGATGAACCACATTAGTGAATTACATACCTATTCCTTCTGAAGCTCTACTAAATTGAATAACATCTCCTATATACCAACTGCGGTATTTACTGGAAATAATTCATGGTAAAAGTATTTCTATCTGTATTAACATGTACCAATTTGTAGCAAACACAACCCTTGGAAATCTAGAATCATATTGAGAAGAAGGAAGGAGATAACTCACCTGGGCAGGGAAGGTAGTAAGAAACTCAGTTAATTGGAAATCTGCTTCCTGAATATTTGCAGCTGCTTGTCGAATCACAAGGTGCAGAGAGGACTGGGACTCCTTTAAAAGTGAATTGAGCCAAACTTCTACATTACCTTCTGCCATAACAGGCTTTTCTAATTCAATTGTCTCACCTTCCCGAGAGGAAATGGAAAGAATTCTGTCATATACCTGTGAATCATACATACTGCATGAAAATTTCATAGTAGTTGTTCAATTTTCATGTTTTTTATTTAGGTTGTAAATTTGATATGAGGACTACCAGTGTATTTGTGTGTGCTCTTTGTTGGAACTAATAGCACCTTTGGGGACGGAAGGGGGATTTAAATTAGGGACACAAAATAAAAGGAAAAGGTTTACTTTCCCCTCCCCCCCTCCACACCATTTATCTAATATTTGAAACAACTAATTCTATATAATATATACAGCACACAAAATTCTATCACAGATCTCCCATGAACCCTACAAAAAATCCTCTACCAAGTCAGACATTTAGTCCCTCAAGTCATGTATTAATATTTATACTCTCTAATCTGACTGACATTCACTCATCAAAGAGGCAGGCAAATATCTTTTCAAGGACCTGAGATCCTTTTAGCTGGCAATACTACAAATTAAATTTGTGATTTCATGCACCACTAGACAATGACTCCACTGCAGATAGGATAATACTGCTCTGTTTTTATGTTGCATGAATCTAGCAAACAAAAATATCTAACGGATAACAAAAAACAGGGAATGGATGAAGCCAAGCAGATTAGGATATAATTCTCATCAGTCCCAATCAGCCTGTCTAATATTCTGTGATTTGGGATGATGTAGCCCTAAACATCTGGGAGTTATCAGGTTACCTACCTCCAGGTAAGACTCTAAACTCAACAATGAGCTGAAAAATAAAGATGTGATGGATAGATTGTGAACTATGTGAATAGGTTCCCTGAATATTGAGGAACCTTTGTGTTCTTGGGTTCTCGGAGGTTACACCAAGGTTCAAGAGAGACTGGTAGACCTCCAGCAAAGATTACTCCCCTTAGAAGGCCAATATTACAATCACACAAACCTTATCATGGAATTTTACAGTTTTGATGTTGTCAAAAACATTTAGCAAGTGAGCCTGTATTGTGTGAGAGTCTGAAGCTTGGCCCAGGATCTCCAGGAGAGCAGGGTCTGACACAAAGAAGAAGCGAGGAAATGAGAGTCTCTTTTTCTCCAAGTAACTGAAACAGAAATATGGTCACATATGTATATTTGAAAAACTGAGTTTGTCATAATCTTTCAATGATCAGACCTCCTCAGCTCCTCTCTAGAGAAAACATCATTACCGATAGAATCAGAGTCTCACCTTGCAGTTGGCATTTTAAATGCTTTGATCATGTCACTGCCAGCCATTAATTCATATACTGCATGAACTAATGAAGCTCGCTTCACTCAGACATATTTAAACTAAATGTTAAGCAAGCCAAAAATATGCACAGCAATGGCTTGAATAAGTAGTAAGTACGATGAAAGTGGTGATTAATTCCTGTAACTATTTCTGCCCTCTCTTAACTGTATCCATTCCAGCATCCACATGACTATATACACTCCAGCAAAGAAAACACAGACTTTTTTTAGACCATAGATTAACATTCTGTGCAGATACTCAAAAACTCTCTTATCCTTCACCATTCCTATATTAGTATGGACATGAGTAGATCAAGTGCTTCCCAATTGTTGTAAATTTAGGGAGCTCTGATAAATTTAAACTAAACTAATCTTAATTAAACTCAGATGGGCCAATATTATTATTCCTATTTTTCACATTAAATTAAAAGCAAAACAAAACACAGCAATAGGATGGGAAAAGTTTTGATCTTCCAGCATTCCCTTGATGTCCTCAGTGTACCCCTTCTACCGGAGACAGATTAAAACAGAGCTGGGAGCAGTGGCAACACGGTAGCTTGAGTAGACTATCTTGTATTATCCTTTCTAACCACATATAGATTAAATCTTAGGCAAAGCCTAACCATGCTGTGATTTAATAATGTCATGTAAAGCAGGATTATATGTAGCCCAAAAGACTTACACACATCATGTTGCATTAACCGAAGATGTGATTATCAAATAGGCAACAGTTTTTCATTCCCCTTGCCCCCAAACTTGAAAAAGAAGCTTTATTTGCTAATTACATATCATGTCAAATATACAAGTTTTCAAAATATGAATTAACATAATATTCACAAAGATGAAGAAAATGCTTATATACTCTCTATGTTAAGATAGACATATATTGTAGGCTCTGTCATAGATATACGAGGACCTCTTAACTCCTATGTAATTTAGCTTTTAATCCCAAAATAATAATAGCAATAGATTCAGGACTGATCTTGGCCACTAAAAGGATTTTTAATCTGGATGCATACTAGTAGAACAAAAAGCAATAAATGTGTCATTTTTTTCCTGTTAATTAACATAACTGATTGCATGTTAGTGAAAAGTTTCTATATAAGCAGACTCACCCTGTTAGAGACTTTTGACACATTTCCAGCTGTTCCAATAAATGAGGCAGTAATTGTCCCATGGTTTCATCTCCAACACAGCATTGGACAACATTTGGTATTTCATGGGCTCGGGTCATTATCTTCACCCATGATTTATCAATATTAGAGAAACGCTTGGCTTCCTGTTTAAGATACAAATATAAATGGCATTTCAGCCACTACATGCATTCTCTAGATGTGAAGACTTAAAAGATTTCTTTCAGCAGTCTTTCTTTTCTCATGCTCTTCTGGCTATGCTAAGTTAATTTTCAGAAATCTATTTTGATATGTGTTGAGTTGTTAATCTAATTGCCTTATCACAAGATGGGATCCTCTGGCCCTCTGAACTACAACTTCCATCAGTCTCAGTATTGGTCATCCCAGTTTGGGCTATTGAGAGTTGTAGTTCAACAGCATCCAGATACCACAGCTGAACAGGTTACCCTTAATACATCTGCAGGTTCTATGGAACAAAACAATGGTTCTTACCTTGGGAAGCTGTTTGGCAATATCTCCACCGACAAACACAGCTTCTAAATATATCCATAAATTCTGCACCATCATCCAGTTCTCAATAATATCAGTTGTATTAGAAAGATACTGTACCCATTTTTGTATGTGAGCCTTGAATGGTGTGTTATATCTGCAATAATCACATATGTTCCAAAATGAGTACATGAATCTCTACATTCGAAGAAAAAAAAAGAGACGTCTACCATATTACCTGTTGCTCATTAGGGAGCCCAGAATCATCAAGCTGTCCTCCATACTTGCAATAGTTTCAGAAGTGCTGTCTCCCCTCAAGAGAAGCTCCCCACGGGTTTTAAAGTTAGCAAAAGTAAACGTTTTGTTGTCCCATTCAGCAATCACTTGTTTGAGCTTCTGTTCAATGTCCCTCTCTTTCACTGCACTGATGCAGATGTCCTACCAAAATCAATCAGAAGGTTAGCGACAAAAACTAAACCCAGAATGCTGTAACATCTTCCAACAAATAGGCCTCTAAAGTGCGATATTGTATGCATCATTTCAGAAAATAACCAAAAAGCTTTTCAGGCTAAAGTTAAATGAATTGCTTCAATACATAGGTATAAAATTTTAATGGAACATGGAAGATGATTCAGTCAGGAAAACCCCACCTGCCATGATTCAAAACAAAGTACTTTTCCACCCATGAACATAATGCACAGCTTCCTAAGGGTGACTGTCAGCCAACTCTTTCAGCAATACTGCCCAGAGTCACTTCCTAGTGAGATGGGCAGTGACCAAAGTTGAAATATAAAAATAAATAAACACTGAATTCAAGATCTGAATTCATGACAACTACAGACTGGTCCCAGAAAATAGTCTAAGACTTCCTGATCAGTTGCAGTGCTGAAATTTATTTGGGTTGCAAGCCTGATCCAGACACCCATGCATTGCATATACATTCCTGGAGCAAAGGCAGCACAAAGGCAGCAACTGATAAATAATACTGTTAGTGTGCTGCAAACACAAAAGTTATCAATGTCCAGTTGAACTTGTTCTGCATCTAGAGGCCTGGGAAGTCCCTCTCACGTAATTAAATGTTCTAGTATATAGCTGTTAGCCCCAAGTCTTCCACTGTGCCACAGCAATATATTACTATATCAAGACTGGAGTCTTATCCTGAGCCAAGGCAAAGATCTTGAGTTTTCAGACCTGCAGTGATCAAGATGGATTTGACTATTTCTTAGAGCAGGAAGCAACACCTGGTCAACCCTGTTGAAACTTAAATAGGGTCGCCTGAGTATTTGGATGAGAGATCACCAGGGTCACTATGACTATAGAAAAGACTTGGAAGTTTAAAAAGTATCCTAACAGATGGCAATGGCAAATGACTTCCATACCGTTGCCATATCTATGAAGTCACCAGAGTTGAGCTTGACTTGGATACTTTACTCATATAAAAAAGTAAGATCTCAAATGTGGCAATAACAGATTTGGTATCTTCAGTTTTTCTACATACAGAGTATACTCTGTATACAGAGTATGTTGAGTGAGATACATTGTGTTCTTTGGGAATATAATAGACTCTATAGGTAGATCCTTCATTTCAATATTAAGGATGTGAGCACATCATTTTCTACTACCTCTATCTCTTCTTTGTATTTCAACAAAGGTGCTTCCATAATGTTTCTCAGTTTGAAAGTCTCATTTTCAACATCAAAACTATGGACAGTGAGATCAGTGATGCGTTTCCAGTGACGTGACATCATGGCTTTATTGGACATCAGCTCAAGCAAAGGACAACATTCACTGAAGTCATCAATCGTTTTCTTAAGATCCAGAAATGCCTGCCATTCCTTCAAAGCTCGAGGTAGCTTACGGCACCTACATGTACACATACAATGGACACACTCAAAATAATTGTAATGTTCCACTGAAAAATATTTGAAAACAACCATAATCTTAAGAATATTTATTAAAAGACTCACAAAATTCAAAATAATTTTCTTCACAGGTAGATGTGTACAGAATTGAAATCCTGAACACTTCTATTAGCACTTTAGTGTTTACAAGGCAATATATAATTTCTTTTTAAACCTTTAAAATCCATTAATGTAGATTAGTAAGGGAATGGCAATGTCTGTCCCTGCAGAGATGATTCACTGACTTTCTGACAATGGTAAATTATGCAAGTTGCAATCCAATGTCTAAAGGGTCACATATTCCCACCCTGCCTGGAAAAATACATCAGAGCACAGCTTTACTTAGCCAGATTTTAAAGGAACTGTCTAATAATGTGCTGAGTTGACATCTTATATTAAACAGTGCTTTTTTAACCATGGTTTGTTGAATGGTTAAAATATGTATTGCATATGTATTTCTCAAGAGAGGAAGGGTCATAACATAGTGGCATTTATTAGAAATGCAGACAAATTCATCAGGAACACCAGCATAAAGAAATAAAATGAAATAGATTAACATTTCTCCAAGCACCAACAAGTAACTGAGACTCAATTTTCTTGCTATTGGTTTTTCAGATGTCTGCTTTAAGCAGTGTATTGTTAGCACCAAATGGAAATAAATAGTTTTTTCCTTCCACCTACCCTAGGTGATAGATCACAGTAGCTGAGTTGAATACAGACATACAGTTCCTATGTTTCCTCACCTGTTCTGAAACTCAAGAAGTTCATTATTAATCTTCTCAATGTTTACATCTGACCAGAGGATATCATAGTAGCCATTCACTGTATCAATGACATTGTTGTACAGGCTGTAAAGCTTCTGCAACAAGTTCAGCTGCTTCTTTATCTCAAGGAGCTGAGGGTACTGAGTGACAGGCAAACCAAAAAGCTCTTCACCTCCTGTGTAGGTGGTGTATTTTCGGAAAAGGTTGTCAAATCGGTTCTAGGGCGTAGAATAAAAGTTTGAGTATACTTACAATATTCCAAGCCACAAGCAATCACATACAGTAAATAGCCACCTTGAGTAGTTTTAATTTTTCCTAAAACAGAAGAGTCAATAACCAAGGAAAATGAAGAACTCAAGAGATAACAGCCAAAGATCGGGCTTTCCATTCTGTACTGTACTCTGAATTCCCATTTGTAGATGAGAATTTTCAAGATTCAACTGAAACAAAAGAGCCAATCCAGCTACCAAGGATCTTGATACTCCTATCCTGAAAACTGGCCCTCATAAACACATACAACAACGATATACTGAAATAGATTATCGCTGACCACCGATGATGGTTGGCCAAAACTGTCTCTGCAGATTCCATTTTTGGATCATACCATGCATTCTTGTTACCGCATCTGGATAAGTGCAGCAAGATGGGATATGGGTTCAAAATAGGGTTAGAAGCATTAAAAAGGCAGCTGTATGTGCATACAATTCTGTCTCCTTGCGAAAGATGTTCTCTTGAGACTCTCCCTAATCGGGGCAGAGATTTGAGGTTTCAGTTCCCAGCAGATCCATGGAAGGAAGAATACTAATATCGGCAAAGTTTGCTAGTGATTTTTTTTTTTGCTCAGAAAGAAAAATCCAACATATATTTGAAAACATACAAAGAGACTAATGATCCTGCCTTTCTTTTAAGAGTAAAGCTGCCCCATATGCTTGGGAGCAGGCACCGCTTCGTTCTTGCAGAGTTTCCCAGAATAACTGCAGAGCTGTGGTCACGTGGACAGTCTGGAAAGCACTGTAAAAAGGAATCAGCCTCTGGGACACACACACACACACACACACCGTTCTAGGAATGTGCAGAGCATTTTCACAGTTAAAGGAAGGGGGAAAAGTAAGCCCTGCAAAAACCTAATTCATTTTCTAAACTCCAATCACCCTCTGTTCCTAACGCAGTGGAGGGGGAGGGGGACAAATATAGATGTCAGAGCTGAAATCTGCCCTGCAAATTAGGCATTAAAAGAGATCAAATTTACAATGAGCTAAACATCTCTAGTATTTATAGTAGCGATGCAGACAACATTTAATTAAATTATTCACAGAAATCAGCAGCAGCTATAAAAATCTAGCCCTTTTGTTCCTGGCCGTTCCTTCCAGCCTTCTCCCAGCTGAGTCACTTCTATCAAGAACAAGCGACAAAGAAATTGGTCTCGGGTAAGGTCAACCAAATTACAGGATGCCAGTGCCAATATAGGCATTTACAGAGAACAAGCACTTGTAGCACCTGCATATATCTTCAGCCTGAGCACTTTGGTCACTCTAGAAACAGAAGGCTGAACTGGTATGATCTAACAGGGCTCCTTGACTATTGCAGGATTCACTTTTGCCATACTATTTTCTCTTGCTAGGTCAGAAACAAGTTTAGTAACACATCAGGGTGATGCTACCTGGCAGCATTTCATTAAGCATTGGCTCTTTATACCAGCCTTCTCCAATCCAATACAGCCTGAGGCATCCTAGTTGGGAGACTGTTGAAGTCCAGGGCAAAAGTATCAGGCTGGGAAGGCTACTTTATACTAATAAGCAAAATGGTAGGGAAAATACCTGGAAAATTATAAGCCTGTCACTAGCTTCTTGAGGTTCAAGTCCATCCACCATGGGACCATTCTGGAAGAGGAACAGGTTGAAACATTAATAAAAAGCCACTTAAAAGTCTAAGTGTTTCAGGAGGATATACCATCTTTCATTTTAGAGTGCCCATTCTCTCGTCTCCAAAACGATTACATCATTATGATAATTAAAGTTGTAGTTCCTTTGGCACATGCCATCAACAGCTTCAGAGCTGTCAATGGAATAAGCAATCAAACAGTATTTCTCTCTTGGATGCTCACATCACATGCAATTAACATACAAGCCTAAGGATAATACAGTTTATGATCTGTGGATCGACTGACAATTTGCATAGAGTAAACAGCCAGTGTTTATGTAGCTTCAAATCAAACTTTTCATGCTGAGAAATCTCATCACCATGGAGTGTTTCATACATTTAAAATGAAGTGTAACTGCTATTCCATATCACTCAGTGATACAAATCCAGCCCTTTTCAACTGAGTTAGTTCACATCTTCAGCTACATGTCATCCAAGTGTAAAATGCTGTCGATGCTTATGTGAAACAAGTTCTACCCTAAAGTTATCGTGTTACCCTAATCTTTTCTAAAATTTTAATGTTTCTCTGAAATTCCATAGGGACATTTCCAGAGGTAGCTACTTTTTGTTTTTTGACCAACTAAGGGAAAAGCACCTATAGACCAGATAAGCATGGCGTCCTTTTTTAAAAAAATTCTACAAACTAGTTCCCTGCACTTAAAAAAACTACAGTGGAATGCAAGCTAGTATTACCTTATTTCTGCTGGGGTTTTTTCAGGTGACCCTGAGCAAACCAAGAGTAAACTCTATTTTGAATATCTAACATTCAACTTATTTTCAAATAAAAGTAGGTTAAAAATTATATTTTCCCAATGTACTGCAGTATTGTACCTTGTCATAATCCAAGTAGTATTGATCACAGTCTTCCACAAATACTTCCACTGTGCTGATTAGCTCCCCTCTGAATTTGGGCTGCAAAGCTACTAGTTCATTCTGCACTTCATTTCCTCGGACCAATAATTTCTCCCAGGCATAGTGCAAAGTGTCTACCTTTTCCATCTGCTCCTTTGCCACCAGTAACTCATATTTGTTTAACATTGCATAAGATTCCTGCCAAGACAACCGTTACTATCTTTCATTATTAAAGTTTACACATGGTATACATAATCAAACATAGATTTGGGAATTCAAGATCAAAATATCAGTAGAGATCCTGCTAAAGGTGAAAGAGAGTTGAGTTAGTGCAAAACCCATCTTAAACATCAGCAATGTGGAGCTTTAAAGTAACAAACCAGAGATAGCCATCATTCTTAATTCATTTACGTACTACTAAGGATGAAATGAATACCTAAAGTTTTTGTTTTTGAGATTGAACATATTTACAGATACAGTGTCCCAAACACATAGATTTCCCAACAATTATGTTGTAGTGCATAAATTATTATACAATTAAAACTAGATTATTGAGCAATATCTGATGATTCATACAACAGCAAACTTATTTGGGAAAGTGGGAAAAATAAAGCTATTTCTTCACAAATTAGGAACATTAATTTAAGCACACCCCCACACACACTCCTGTTATATATAAGATTGATATGTCTTTAAATGAAAAACAGAGCTTTGCCATTGGTAGAAACTGAATTGAGACAGAAGTCAAAGTCTTGTGTTTAAGAAAATTGCTGCTTTTTACAACAAAATCTGATGTTCTTTTTCAACAAAGCAGCACCACTCACAGAAACACAGAAAGGTTTAAAATATCCTTATGTATTTTTAATGGTTAAGTCAGTATCAATAACAACTGATATCTCGCACTAACCCTGAGTAACTCAAATAATTTCTTTTCAACATATTCTGTACTATTAGTTGAAGCAACAATAAATGTCAAATAAATATATAATAAGGAATGGGATCATGGGGAACTATGTATATGTTTTAAAAAGTGAAAATCTTGTTCATTCTTTAGAAAATTAAAGGTGGCACAGCCTCTTTAGTTTATATCATTAAAGCATTAGTATGACTAAGGCTGGTCATTCCTACATTTTCCTGTATTTCTGGCCTGCAGAACACGTAGCCCACCAAACAGCCTTCTGCAGCCCACCAGCATTTTTTGAAAAATAACCAGTTCACTGCCACCAAACATTATGGCTGCCAGGAAGGATTCACCACCAGAGTTTTTGCAGCCATTTCCGCCCCAAAAGAAACACTTTCAAGAAGCTAAATAGCTGATCAGTGCACCAGCTATTTCTTTGTGACCCACAATTATTTTAAAGGTATCAATCTGGTCCTTTCCTGTCCAGAAGTTGTACAGGCCTGCTCTATCTCATGAAAAGGTGTTACATGATTGACTTGATGGACAGGGAGAGCCAATACTTATGGGCCATTTATCCCTCAATTCTGTACTCCCCTTATCCTGTAAAAAAGTTTGCAGATTTTTCATACTTTATCACTGGAACCATAAAGCAGAAAGTCATTCATACAGAGAAAAGCAAAGTAAGTTTCATTCCCTCTTGAATGGAAGAAAGAATTAAGAAATTAAATCCATAAGGTAAAATATTACACAATCAAGAAGAAGCAGAAAAAAAGATACTAAAGCTGCAGAAAGCAAAAAAAAAAAAAAAGATTTGTTTGGTGTGAAAACAAGGATGCAATTGATAGGAGGACTTTGAAAACATTAGCTTCTTAGTAGACTTCTCCATCACATGAACCTTGCCTTCCTATGGGGGAACAGAATTTGCCCTCTGTCCCCAAACTAGCAAAAGACAGAGTTCATGCCAGGTGGCAGGACAAATAATGGTCCCTGGTCCCTTTTCCAATTACCTCAATTGGTCCCACTTGGAAGTCTATGGGGATTTGTTGCTCTCGGATCTCTTTCAGGGCAGCCATAGCTATTCTTATGTCATCCAGGTCTTTAATCTGACGGTTCAATTTCTTGCTGATTTCCTCTACAAAGCTGAAGATGTTTTCCATCTCTGTCCTGTATTTCTTGTTACAGTGACGTCCAAATGCTATCATCCAAGCTTTGGTTTCAGTTGTAAGGGCCAACTTTAAATCCACTATGTAAAGTGATGGAGAGGTTTCAGTTAGGAACAGCATGTTTTAGAAATATTGCTACATTCCATATTAAATCTGCCATTCCCTCTTCCATGTATTTGGTGATAAGAGACAAATCAGTAATAGCTGTTTGTATACCTTAGGAAAAGCAGCAAAAGGAAAGAGATTTATAGCTTTATTTTATGCATGTCTCTGTAGAAATACATTCCACTGAGTCCAAAGGGACTTACTTCTAGATAAACCTTTTGGTGGCAGGTAAATGCATTTAACATTTTTGGGAAAGATGAGAGTTACACCATCTGGGGAATTATGTAAAATAAGATTGTCCACACTGTATACTTCAACTAGGCTAGCGTATTCTTTTTCTTAAAAATGTTGGTGGAAGAGTTTAGTATTTTTTCTTTTCTTGTTAATTAGGTCAGATTTATTTGAAGTGTAATCTAGACTTTTTATGTGTTTTTTGTCTCATAATGGCAAAACAAAGGATAGGTTTAGGCTCTGGTATCTCAGATTATCCAACCCTTCTTTTAGGACTCCAGCTTTAATGTTGCTTTAAAAAGCATTCTCAAACTGAAAGAAGCTAAATAAAATTTACTGCCAGCTAAACATTAAATCACCATACCAGTAAATATTGCAACAGTTCCCACACGTATATATTCAGGTTCTGAGTTAATTTTTAATTCTAAGTCTTGGTAATAAAGGATTTGGGATTCAAATTCAGAGAGCAAAGGGTTTCCCTTGATGAAACTTTCAATGGTTTCTTCCTTCTCTCTCTGCCAGATGTGATGGTAACATTTGAAACGCTCCAAAGCTGAAACAACTTCCTGAAACATCAATGAGAACCAATATAAGGCAATTGTATACAAACAGTTCCACTGCTATATTTTGATATATATTGTTCCATGCAGTAATGACCCATGAGCTTTGGCACTAATGGCTTCAATCATATCTGGGAAATCATGGAGTACTATTTGTATCACTGCTGCCAAACTCAGACTTGGTCCTCCTGTAGCTGTAAACCTTCTTTTGGCACTTTTTTGGGGGGGTTGGGGGGCAACCCACCTGGACTAGCACATTTTGTTCTACTTAAAGCTTTTGCTTTTTCTCTAAGTTTCTGCTGCCACCCCTTATCCTTCTTCTCCCCACCTTCACCACTTTGTTCTTTCTCTTCATTCCCTGCTCCATGACCACTTCTCACTTCTTGGACAATTCTTGGACTCCAACTTTCCGCTATAATGCTTTTGCTCACCCTTTTGGTAGAATTTATACTTGTACTAAGAACAGACATCAGTTTAATTATTTCCTTGTTCTCTGAAATGACTTTGTAGTAGTTCTTTTTCTGGATAGGTGAAGGCAAGATCACAGAGGCTGTATCAGAAGCCGTGTCTAGAAAACAAAGCAAAAAAAAAAAAAAGGAACTGCGTATCAGAGGGCCAAAACTGTAACATTTTTCTAAATCCTGTGATAGATCAGGAGTATGTGGCTTCTTTGGGGCTGAGATGGCACTTTGCCTTTAGGTAGCAACAAAAGGGTGATACTCCAAAAGGTACACTGGACCACAGTAAAGACTGAATTGGTTTCATAATTTGTATAATTTAAGGTGAAATCTCTAGGTCAAACTCTAGATGACTTCATGGGCAGGAGCACGCATTTGTCTGATAGTTGCTTGGATTTGCTCCAAGTTGGGCTCTGGCCTTGAGACGGGACCCATGTAGGTATCTGAAACTCAGTCTAGCTTGGTTATCTGGGAAAAGTTTGACCCTGTTACTCCTGATGAAGTTGACAGGATTCTTGGAACTGCTAACTGAGCCACCTGCCTATTAGACCCTCTCTCTCTCAGCTGACTAAGGCTTCCTTGTGATTCTCTATGGGCTATACCCAAGGTTTTTGTGGGCCACATGAAGCCCTGGAACCTCAGGTTGTACACCTTAGCTCTAATTGTGCTTTGATACGTCCTTTCGAAAAACTCAAGTGCAGTGAAAACGTCACTTGGTACAATAGATTGACAGTGAGTGAAATAAAGGCTCTAGATCGTTTTTGTCAGAGTGAACTGAGTTTCTGCAAGTGACTAGCATGTTGCAACCCCCTTAAGCTTTAAGTAGCTTCATGGAGTAAGTAGCAAAAAAAAAAAAAAAAGCATACCACATACCTAGAGTTTTCTGAATTATGGAAGGTTGGTCTACATCTTCGGAATTCCAAGAGGCAAAGGTGGACATTCCCTCTTGACCAGAGTAAGTTACTGTATGTAACCAAAACCTCAATACACCCTCTAAATCACTTTTACTTGAGAAGTTCCACTGCTAACTTAAGTGATCCTTTTATGCATGAAAAGAAGGTTTCCTGTTGTTAGCTCTCTTGCCTTACCACTTATCTTGACAACCAATCTCTTTCCTCTTCTTTTTATTCTAAGAGTTAACTCAGTCCATCAATCTAGACTGCTCTGGCTCTGACATTCACACATAGACTACTAATGGGATGACAGTATCGTTCCCACATTCTAAATATACGTGCTTAAAGCATCTTATTATCTCCACATTGCTGAATGATTAATTGTTGCATCAGTGAAATGCCACATAGCAGTTAAAAGATTTTGTAATTAAAGCCAGGAACCATAGGTAAATACTAAAGTCAATATATTACCATGGGTGTTTCCAACTTCAGTGTCTTTCATTTCAGTCTCAGAATCACTGCCTCCCTCATTTCGTAAAGCAAGCATTTTGCGTTCTAGCAATTGTTTCTGTGCAGAAATGGGGGGAAAAATCAGACCGCAATAGGTAAAACTGCATACTGTTTATCAGTAGACCTCTTCGAAGCACACAAACATGTACCTTTGATAGTCTCTCCTTACTCCACTGACCAACTCCTTTCATGGTGCTTACAATACAATCCACAGCTTTGTTGAGTGTTTGCTGAATTTCATCAAGGGTTGGTATTATAGCAAAATTTGGAATAGAAAGGATAACACCAGCCTTAAAGATGGGTACAGCATTTTGTTTCTGCTTTGAGGTATTCTCACTATCTATATGGAAATGAGAAACGCAATCCTTATTAATCCACTTAGATACCACTGAGAAATGAAATAAAATCCACATCTTCCAAACAGCCAGCAGTTAGATAATCTGTCAAGGCTTGTAATTAGGGTACACTGGAAAAACAATAAAAGGCAACTGATTTTGTAATATTTAAATGTTTTCATAGGAAGACCCTGATATACTGGCTTGGTTCATTGTACTAGATTTAAACTTTTAGATGTAACTTCCTTGAAAATGTTAATACAACGAAGCACAAAATACTTGGGGCACAGGTAATATACACTATGTGAACCATGCTGGTCATACAGTCATAAAAAGACCACCAGTTTATTGATGAAACATGTGTCCTCTAGAGATCGCATACATCTGCATTGCACATTAAATATTCAGAGATTCCCTTCTGCTGTAAATATTTTAAGTTGTCCTTTCATTAGGACAAACAAGAGGCTAACTTGCTTTGAAGTTTCAGCATTTTGTCTCATACAGTGGGTTGGATTCAGATCAATAATTCTATTCACATAGGGACACCTCCCATCCATGTGAAGCATTAGAATAGAAGCCAAGAGAGGCAAAATAAGGAGGCAAACAGGTGGTGTTTAGCCCACATTTTATTTCTCCTAGGTCCATTTCATGCTGCTCTGCAGAATCAGCCGGACTTCCAGAAGTATACAAGGAAGAGGAGTTACCCCAAATTTTGTGTCTTCAATTCCTTTTACCAGCATAAGCAGAAGTCTGCTGTAATAATTATTCTATCCAGAAACCATTTGGCCCTCTGTCTGCCCTGGCTATAAATCTGGACAAGCAAATCAACAACTTGGGAACCTTCCTGGATTCACAGCTCCTACTGGATTCACAGGTAGAGGTCAGGGCCAAGAAGACCTCTGCCCAGCTGCAAACCTACCTGGAGCAAGACCTCTGGTGATGGTGACTCATGTTATCATCGTTAGGCTAGATTATTGCAAGATGCTTGATTGCTTGATTTGATTTGGTTTTTCTCCACCCATCTCCCCCGTGGCTCACATAATCCATTAAAACTATATATATATATATATATA